GTGGAAATTTCCAGAAACAAGTCTTTCATATATACACTTCCAAAACTTTCAAGCAGATTAAAATGCATAGCTTTTGGAAAACCTTTGCCAACACTGGCCAGTGTTTGGATTTCTCCAGAATTCAACTGGTCCAGCATGATTCACCGAATTCTTTATGAATTAATAAGCTGTAAATCATGCATTTTTTTCTTCCAGCCATGCATTAGTTTCCACACTCTATAGCCAAGCAGAATAAACAGTGTCCCCGAGGGAGTTTCTTCCCTGAGAAAATTTCCTCCTCTCTCCCTGGTTTCAAATGGAAGAACATCCAGTGAAGGCCCATTTAGTGATCTGACTGAATTAGTTTGGGTAAGGAACCCAACTTGACATTTTTTGGAGTTTGAAAGTGCCAAGGGGCATCTATGCAGAATAATTCACCATGAAATTGTCTAGGTCCAGGTTACAGGCAACCAGCAAGCACAGATCACCTGTGTGTAACTGATGGGCTGGAACTGACACAAGAAATCCATGTATCAGGGAGATGGAGCTACTGAAAAGGGAGCATCTTCTCGGAAAAGAACGGCTTTCTGGCACTTGCAGCCGCTTCTCCTTAACAGTCATTTGTTCTTCATGGACTGTGTTCTGAGTGCCAGGTATTATTTCCCTGCCCTGGAATTAAAGGCACCTGCACTCACACCAGAGCTGTGTCAAGAGCTGGGAGACATGAAGAGCTGGGTCCCTGGGCTTTGGGGTGCCCACCATAGGATTCAAAACCCAAGTAGGGGGCCGTCACCTGTGCACTGGGCAGTCGAGTTCTAGCTCTGGACAAAGAGGAAAGAGCTAAGAGAATGGCCTTTTCACAGTCTGGCTGCTATGAGTTGAATTTTATACCCATTCTAGCAATCATTTGTTTTAAAATTATTTTTCTGAAAATGCAAATGAAGAATCGTTCGGAATATAAAGAAATGAAGGTAACAAATGAACAGATCACAACAAAAATTCTTAGATTCTAAAAACAAAATGGTGGTGATCAGAGGGGGAGGAGAAGGGGTGTGGGAGGAACAGGTGAATGGGGTCCATTTGATAGTGATGGATGGTACAGGAACTTCGCTGGGTGGGTGTGGTGTGGTATGTACATTTGTGGAGGTGTGAAGCTGCACCCCTGCAACTTACATAGTATTTGCATAGTATTGTAAACCAATTTAAAAAAAACAACTGTATCCCCAGTATAAATTAAAAAAAAAAAAAATAGAAACTTTCAGAAAACCTAATTGTTTCCAGAAAATATGGGGGCTAGCTATAAGATTCTTGAATATTTAGAAAAATTATTATAAAAACCACGTCTTTGTACAACTGTGTAGATGTCAGACAAAATGATTTTGCTCAAAAAGCATAGAATGTGGTCCAGTCCTATTCTCCCTTTATCAGGCAGGAAATAAAACGTAAGGCCCAAGTGATGAAACAATACAGTCGTCCACTCCTGCCTGGGCCCCAAACCTACTCTCAGGCCCAAGCCTGGGTCCTGCACCTGTGAAATGAATTTCCTCATGTCCACCAGGGACCCCGAACATCTTAATATCCCTTGACTGTTTTCCATCATCTTCTAAACCATCCAGCACCCCCAGATAATATTATTTCACCCCAGAGCAGACTCTGAGGCCCTCTCTCAGCTGTATGCTAAGCAGCTCTGAGAGGCTCCAAGCCAGGAGCAGAACTGCATGATTTTTGGCACTGGATAAAGCAAGAGGCTTTGGAGCACCGAGATCTGGAATAATGTGGGTGAATCAGTAGATCTGTTTGGGCCAGAACCCAAGACTGTGTGCATGCCCTGTGTAGGGAGAGGCCTTGGTGCCTGGTGTCCGGTGTGGGGGGTAGCCTGCTATGCTCAGCCCCTCTTAGACTCTCACCCCCGACAGGACATTGATGAGGGGCCAGTATGCTCCTCACAGCTGCCCTACACCCCACCAAGACACAAACAACCCCCTCTTTTCACTCTAACAACTGACCACCCAGGCTTGCCAAAATGAGGACAGCTCTGAAAGAGGGCAGTTTTATTTTAAGGGCCTAATGGGACCAAAGAGATGGAAGAAAAATGTTCAGCTATTTTAAAAAAGGCAATAGACAATCTTCTTCCAAATAAACAAACTATCCTTTGAACAAGAAAACAGTCCTCTCCCGGGTCAGGCTGGGGCCAGATCATGAAGGAGTCACATGTCCCTCATCCCTCTCTCCACTCCCTGCTCCCCTGATTTTTCCCTCTGCTGCTTTGGGGAGCCCTGTGCTCTCCTGCTGAGGCTTCACCAAGGGGCGATCTGATGAGCTTATTTGACACAAGCTGCTCCCTGAATACAACGCTGACCTTTGAGGAGGGTACCCCTACAAATCTCTCAGCGCAGACTTCCAGGGAAATCTACCCAGAATCTCTCACATCTGTACCATAAATGCAGCTACCAGCTTTTCCAGAACATAAGACTTGACTTCATAACCAATCTTCAAGATCTTAAGGGCTTTTAAAATTTTTCACTTGTTTAAATCATCATGCTTTCTCTCATGTTTACAACTTCTCTCACTAATAATAATGTGTGACAGTGTGGAGACAATATTATGTGGAGTGATTTACAGGGTGCTAAAAACTTGACAGGGCAGAAAAGTCTAGAGTATGCCCCTCAAGTCCTACATGAATATTTTCCTGTTGTTGATTTCATTTATTAAGTAGAGGGCTAATGAGGCTTGTAGTATTTTATCCCTCTTCTGGATATCAGGGACAAATGGAACTCTGATCTTATCTTGTCCTCAAAAAACGTATACAGGCTGTTGGAAGGAGATGAGAGAAGTTAAGCTACTGTAACATCCAGAGGAACGACACAGCTAGCACAGAATGTGAAAGGAACAAAGGAAGAATATCAGGATCTCCATGTACGGTTACATAGGTTGTGCGCTACACAATACTGGGGTCACCATCCCAAAAACTCCATTTTCAAGAGATGCCTCTGGAAACCCGAAGTGTTAGGAATCTTGTGAGACTTCCAGGACAAGCATCCAGGAGTCAACCAGATACAGGTATAGAGCAGGAGGGATAAGTTCTGACTTCTGGGGGCAGAGGGTAGGGAGAGGGAGTTGCTAAAGATGTTTGAAGGCTAATGGGATGATACATCCATCCCTTACTTTGAAAAGGGCTCAGCTTTTTAGTGGAGAATCAGAAGGAATCACTGATTAAAGTGTTCGATTTGGGGTCATTCAAGTCACTTCCTAATTCACAGTAATTACAGTGACACCTGGGGTCTTATATGATCTGTTACCTCCAGCCCTTACCTCTCTAAATTCACCTTTTATCATTTCCTTCTCTCACCCATCACTCCACACCACCACACTGATCCCCCTGCTCATCTTGCAGTGAGTCACACATTCACCCAGGGCAGGTCTTTGCTCTAGCTGCCCCCCCACTTGGAGCTGTGTTCCCCCTGCTTGGCCAACTTCATCTCTCCTAAATGTTGTTCAAATGCCACATCCCCGGTGTCTTCCCTGACCTCCTTATTAACATTGCAGCCTGTCCCCACCGCCTGGGGCATTCTGATTCCTGGGAGGACCCCTCCACTTTCTCCTTTTTCCAAATCACTTTCACCTTCGGGCAGACTATGAATTTACACATTACCTACAGGAATATTTGAAGGGCAGGAGTGATAAGACCTGTTTTTGCTTCCATCACTCTCTCTTTCTCCCTCTCTCTCTCTCTCTCTGGTTGCAATTTTAAGTCAGGATTTAGTACAAATAAATAAAAACTTACAAAGGAAATAAATTATGAGAATCAAAACTGTGGATCTTGCATTAATAACATTTAGCTTAGAAGTTAGCTGTATTGGATGGGTTTGAGACATGAAGGTAACATCAGAAAATACTTCAATCCATCAAACATATACTGTCATTTACATTTAAAAATTACTTTCATTATATTAAAAAAAAAAAAAAAAAAGACAGGGATTCCCTGGTGGCCTAGGGTTTAAGTCTCAGGCTATAATTTCTACGGCCTAAGGCCTGAGTTTGATCCCCGGCCAGGGAGCTGACACACATGGCGCAGCAGACCTCTCCTGTCTCGCCCTCTGCTCCCCTCAGCAGGGTATTTCAGTATATCTGTCTGTTCTGCTCCCTGTTCTGCCTCTGGCAAATCCTCTCTCACACACACACCCACCTACACACCAGTTCTATGCAAAATTAAAAAAAAATTAAAAATGAGTGACAAAATAGAAGTTCTGGCATTGTGCTGAAACTGATTAGCGACACTTTTCTCTAGCTACAAGGAAGCTGCTATGGACCCACCAAGGGAGGGCAAAGACTGGCATTTTCCAGTGGTGGGAATAGATTGGCACCAGCCCCTAAATACTTCCTTCTCTTTTTGCTGGTGCCTGACAGCCTGCGATGGATCTGGGTGAATCCACTGGGCTCTTGCAGACACAGCAACCTGGATTTCAACCTCCTTAGCACCAGGCTCTGAGCTACTCAGCAAGCTTTTGTCAATCCAGGTCACAAACAGATGAGAGATGTGGCTGAAAGATGCATATCTCTGTCCTCCTCTGTTGTTATCTACTCTGCTGTGGAAACAATGACCGGGATGGACACTAAAGACCCATGGTCCTGAGGGCCCCGAAACAGGGTCCAGAAAAAGCAGTCAAATTTTGCTTGAGATGACCTGGTAAATGTTATATAGATAGAACCCCAAAACAGCTAAATTCAGAAAGAGTATGCCACAGAGGACCCAAAAATACTTTGTCAGAGGACAGGAAAGTCAGCTGTGGTTGGGCCACATCCGTTTGGAACCTCAGGGTCCCCCTCTGCAAACTCCCTCCAGGGCAGGGTTGACAAGAAGCGTGACTAGGATGAGGCCTGAGAGGGCAGTGTGACCCTCTGGGACACACCCAAACACATCTAAGTACAGTAGGGCCAATCAGAATTATTTCTCCCCTGGGGCCTGAATTCTAGCGCCCAGAGCAAGAGAGGGCCCACCCTGTCAATGCACCAGCACTTACCAGGTAGCGCTCCTCCTGCCTCATGCTGGGGGTGCGGATCATGTGATTCTGTTCCCCTCTCCAGTCTCCAAATCGTCGGAAAAAATAGTTGGATAAAAAGCGACTGACGGGGTCTCTGATGATGTTGATGTAGACGGGCTGGTCTCCTCCAAACCTAACATATGCAGATACAGAGCTCATTACAAGCCATTACTTTGGGAGGAAAACAAAGCCCAGTTAGACACTGGCGCCCCCAGGGGTTAAGATGGTCCAGCCACTATGGAAAGCTGTGTGGAGATTCCTCAACCTGCTAAAGATGGAGCTTCCATATGATCCAGCAATTCCACTCCTAGGTATTTATCCAAAGGACTGAGATACATTAATTCAAAAGGGCACCTGCACCCCTATGTTTATAGCAGCACTATTTACAATAGCTAAGCTATTGAAACAACCCAAATGCCCCAAAATAGATGACTGGATCAAGAAGATGTGGTACATATACACCATGGAATATTACTCAGCAATCAAAAAAGATAAACTCATGCAATTTGCAGCAACATGGATGGCACTGGAAGGGATCATGGTCAGTGAAATAAGCCAGAAAGAAAAAGAAAAATACCAGATGGTCTCACTCATAGCAGGAATTTAGAAAACCTAAATAAGAGACCAGGAAAAAGACTAATTATATTAAAGAAAAAATCAAAATCAACAAGCAACTATAAACCAGAGATACACTATGGGGTGGGAGGCGGGGGGAGGAGAGGAGGGATTAGGGTCAAAAAAAGGGAGGTGGGAATTGTATGGGGAATATAACCAAATGAAAATGCATACATTGTGCAAAAATGAAAAATGATGTAAGAATTATATAAAATAAAATATATTAAACATTAAAAAAAAAAGGATTCTCATCAGACAACCCCATTTGCCAAGGTTCCAGCATTTTATTAGGAGGCAGGAAGTAGAGATGGTGGCACCTGCCCAGGCCCCCGCTGAGAGGCCCTGGGGACTGTTTCCATAGTAGTTCTAGACCACTACAGTGTTTGGCAATGTGAAGGGACAGCTGGTCTTGTTTTCTCAGTAGGCTACAGGTTTGAGGGCCGGTTGCTGTGTTCCAGACCTGCTGGCACACATTGGCCCTCAGGGAACGCTTCAATTGACTGGCAGGTTCTGACAGCCTCACTGGGGAAGTGGCACTTATTCCACATTTTAATTCAAGCAGTGTCAGGGAGGTTCTCTGCAGTAAATGGATAATAATAGACAACAGTCACCAGGGGCTCAGTGTTCACCTCGTTCTAAATACTTTATGTGTCAGAATCGACTCACTGAAACATCATACCCCTTTAATGGCTTTGAACCCATAATTATCCCTATAGACACCTGGAGACAGGGCAGGGGAAACTGAGGCAGGGAGAGAGTAACTTGTGGTTGAGTCAGGATATGGACCCAAGTGGTCTGACTTCAGAATCTGTGCTTTGAACCATGGAAAGAAGATTCCAGAGTTGAGAAAAGTAATAAATGTGAAGGTTATCATGAACACAATAAAACCAAGGTAATTATCTTTGAGAAACAGCAGGTGGTTTGACATAAAAATCAAACAAATATCTTGGTGTCCCCTTTCATTCCTCCACAGAGGGATTAAGGATTGTGTTGAATGCTGGTCCAAGGATATGACCTTCCCGAGGAAGGATGATGAGGATGCTTGGATTTTTCTTAAGGATTCCTCCACTTTCTCTTTCAACTGTTCAGAAGCAATGACTGTGGGGGGCCTGGTGAAACACTCTCGACTCTGGGCAGGGATCTTACTCATCTTCTCATAAAGATGCCCAGACTTTCTTCCAGAAAGAGCCCAAAGAAAGCAAACTGACACCCCCACCTCCCTCCAGTTGGCGGACTCCTTCGCCTGGTCCATAATCCAGAATCATTGTTACACGCTTCAGTGATGGACCCTCACCCTGATGCTAGCCCCTGCCCCCTCTTGCCCCACACTCTCTCTCTAGTAGTGTGTGCATATCTGCCTCTCCTACCAGACTGTAAGCCTTCTGAAGCCGGGAACAGAGCTGTTAAGCCCAGTGCATGGCACACAGTAGGTGCTCAATCTATGAAGATTTGAGGGCCTGTGTGTATGCTTCAGTGGCCAGAGGAAATAGACATAACCAGCCACCAATACTTCCTCGTATGTTAATTTTATAATGTTGTCCCCAGCCTATTTGCATTTTAAAAGGGAGTCTTCGGAAAGAAGAATCCAAAGGAACGAACAGGTATTTCAGGCACTTAGACATGTGAATGATATTCTGGATTCCTCAGCTCTACTTCGTAGAAACCATACTGCTCAGGAGCAAGATTAGCCTTGTCAATAGGAATTCTTCTAGTTCCCAGATCCAGCTGACATTCATGCAACTAGATGAAGAGTTAAATAGTCCCAGAAGTCAACTGATCATCATCCTAGATGTATTCTTTTTTCTTTTTATTTAAATTGGGTTTCAGAGCTCTGATAAACAGCAACTAAATAATGCCAGGGATTAGGAGGACAACACATGCACAGCAGCTGTGAATGCAATTAAACCCTCAGAAATTGCATCATGCTTTTGAAGACCTCAACTTTATTTCAATCATCATACGAGTCAATACACAAGCTTCCCACTTGGAAGTGGACCCAGCTTGACCACAGTCATCTTCCACTGAAGGACACAGGCATGAGCACTGACAAGACTCAGTAAACATGGATGACTTATTCCATTATGCATATTTTGTCCCAATACAAGAGGACCAGGATAATTTCCCAAAGCAGAAGTTTTAGAAGGCTTAAGAATTGATTGCCAAGTATCAAATGCCATAAAAGCCTCTCTCTAGAAATTTGTAACTATGAGAATGAACAGTAATAATGATGTCAGGCTGCCAAGCTTCATCCTTTTTCTAGGATGTGCAGCTCTGTCCCAAACTGGCAAAATCTAGGGGGACATGCAAGTTATACAAAAGAAGTCTGAATACAGCCCGGTGTCCCCATGCCTGAGAAAGAAAACAAATTTCACATCCTCATTCCATCCTCGATCAAGATTGGTTTCTCCTCTTGCAGTAACTTCTAAGTCCTAGTCAGAATTTTTGGTGAACCTTAGGTCTCTTGGTCATCGAACCTAAAGCCTATTGCTGATTCTATTCTAGAACAAGAAGGCTTTGGAATCCACCTTGCATCCACAATCCCCTGCAGGACAACACTGTCCTACTCTTAAAACCTGTGAGAAAAGATTCTACAGGTGAAGTTCATCCTATTGTCAACCTGAGGAGACTTTGGTGTATCCCAAAATTCTTTTTATACACATTTTCTATAGTTTGAGCCACTCAGGAAAAGGATTAGTTTTTCTTCATATGCTTTTACAACTCTTAGTTTTTTTCAGCTACAATTTTAATTTCTTTAACTTTTTTTTCATTTTTCTTTTTGAAATTCCTTTAGCATTTGTTCTGAGACATGTTTCCCATCTTTCCATACTCTGAATCTCTAATTTGGTCATTTTTAGGCTCTAAACCTTGTGGCAACCACAGGTGACTCTAGGTTCTGTGTTGTGCACATGAAGGAGTCACTTCACTTTCTGTCATTCACTTAACAACACACCCTTCTGTCCTTTGGGCACCAGCCTCTTTGCATATGTGAGGATCTATTTTAAGTCAGCTTAAAATAGCTGTTATTTCCAATTTCACTGATTTGTTCAAAGGCCACATATACCAATTCTTGAATCACTACTGTGGGTCTCCTTCCAACTCTGCAAATTTATCATGTTCTTTTTATTTTTGCTTTTTTGATGAAAAGATGAGGATCCAAAGCAGCGTATACTTTGCTAGAGATAATAACTACCCGATTCTCATGTTTTTTCATGAATTACTAATTATCTCCTTCTGCTCATTTTCTTCCCTGTCTCTCCCACATTGCTACCCCAATCTATCAAACCAGCAACATTAGTTACCTCTCGAGCAGCTACACAAATCACTGTGGTAGGGATTTTAGGGATACTTTGATCATAATGCTGAGGCTCTCCACCTGGAATATTAATGCATGTATTAAAAAATAAGATTTTTAGTTCTGAGACCAGAGCCATTCTGGAGAAAATAAGACTGTTTGATCTTCCTTCTATAGGAGAGTTTTCTATGACTGGAGACAGTTCTTCAAAGTATATCTTTTTAAAAATTATGGTGAAATCTACATAACATAAAATTTACCCTTCTCACCATTTTTAAGTGTACAAATCAGGTGCATTCAGTATACTCACAGGGCTGTGCAGCCATCACTGCCATCAAACTTCAGAACTTTCTCATCTTCCTAAACTGAAACTTTGTTTGGTAAACGATTAAATCCCTTCCCCACTCTCCCCTCCTACCCCCCCACCCTGGTCCTGGCAACCTACTCTCTATTTTCTTTTTAACATTCTGGCCTAAAATTAGAAGCTATCGGGGTGTTGTTACCCATGTTAAAAGATGAGAAGTGCCATGAGCCTAGATGCCCACAGTTTTGAGCCCATTTAGTGAGAAAGAGAAACTTTGAAGTAAGAGAAAGGCCCTCATGGAAAAGGATGTAATTGGTTGGGGTGGGGGGCAGAGGGAGGAGCTGCCTGCAGAAGGGAAGGGCAGAGATGGTTACCTAGAGGTTCTCTGCCGGGAGTTAACCCCAGTAACCGGCCAGGCTACAGTGGGAGGTCATCTCCATCCTCACAACCTTCTCTAGTGTGCACTGGGGCCTGCAGCTGCCTGGGCCACTGCCTCCTATCTCTGTAGACTGTGAGAAAGAGTGTGCCATTTTAGAAAGATGAGTCCAGCAGTGTCCCACTCTCATTTGCTAACCCAGCTTCTGGGCAGTGTTTAAGTAGATAAAGAAAGTGTTCAGTGACCAATAAAAACCATTTTTTTTCAGATTTATTATTCTCTATTATGCATACAAGAACTGGGGTGTAGGCCAGAAGTGCGGGGGTGAAAGGATTCACCAGAGACAGAGTGGGGAACAGAACAGGTGGACCTATGCAAATACACTGCTGAGGGGAGCAGTGGATGAGACAGGAGAGGTCTGCTGTGCCATGTGGGTCAGCTCCCCGCCTGGGGATTGAACTCATGCTACAGTAGCTGGCGACAGCATGGTAGTACTGAGACTCTAACCCCTGTGCCACCAGGGAGGCCCCTAAAAAAAATTTTTAT